GCCGTTCATTCATAAAGTTATCGCGGAAAAACCGAACTTTCACGAAGCAATGCTTAGGGGCGTGGAGGTGGTTGAATAACCAGGATGCGAGGCGGCGTGAGGCATGTGGGAGGGGAGGTTTAGGAGCCAATATCTCAGCCTCGGAGTATCGTATTGACAAGCGGTTGGTCTTGTTTTAGAAGAATTCTGCTTAATGCAATACCATAAAATTATTCTAAACTCGCAGGCAAAGTAGTATAATGTTGTCGTGAAATAGCACTATTTTCCCGTTTTTCCATTGTACACTCTAGGTATTATTAGCTCTTGATAACATGTTCATATTTATATAGTTTGGCTCACATGGGGGGCCCAATCCATCACCACTAACAAGTTTCCAGAAAAAAGCTGCATACTTACGCTTAATAAGTCGACTAGATACTTGTGAAGGAAGTCTTTTAGTCGCTTGTAGAGTTCGAGCCCAACAAACTGAGCACCACTTGTCGCTTGCTTTGCTGGTTTTTTTCCTGATGGTATTCTACACTGTGACTGGTGCACACTTGTGCAATAGTTATATACATGTCTGTCGTTACAGAATTAAAGAAACAATAGCATAATTTTCCCCCCAAAGTGCCAATAAGAAATATAGTGTTGCACTATGTAAATAAAAACTAAAGACCACAGTTTAGACAAGGATAAGATTAGGTATATAATGCAACAGTTCACAGCATTGCAAGGATACGTGTAGAGTTCTATGTATCTCTTCTTTGCCATGTTTTCCCTCTGGTATACCTTCGTGATACCCTCTTCTAAATCACCCCATATACAGTCTAGGTCAATTGGCTTCAGACCATGGGGGTTGTGATTTCTACTGCTCGTAGATGCACTAGACATGATTACCAGATGCGCAGTACCTCTCACAGCTGGTGTGCTTATAGCCTTGCAGCAAAAATGTGTGTCAAGTGATCCCACAAGTTCACAGTTTTAATCAAAGTTATGAAACTGCTGCGATGACTGGCAACATCTGCATTGTCTAGAATCGAGAATAACCTGTAGGAAAATGCACATAACATGAATCAGCATAATAGCACAAGAATATCTGAAAGACAAATTTCGTATTATCAATATCATTAAACAATTTCAATATGGTTGCAGTAGGGTTTATTGTAAAACGCACGATCATGCGATTCTACAAGCTGCATCTGACTATGTCAGATGAGCTAAAAATGCTAACAGATTTCACACACCAACAATATTGACAAATAACCTCTCTCCCATAGCATGCATATCAGGTACACATAGTTCATTGTCCATTACAAATGCACGGTTTCAACTATAGTTGACCAGATTCCAGGTCTTTTACTTACAAAATGATAGTTTTAAATGATCACTGCATTCTACATGTCTGTTAGTAAATCTGATAGTGTTAAACGATCATTAACAAAGCAGATGACCGTGTTATACAATTAAAATTAAAATTATATGCAACAGGTATCTTACCTGTTTATTTAGTGGCTTGAAAAAGTTATCTCTCCAAGTGACTAGAGCAAGCTGGAAACAAACAAGTTGTTTCAAAATTACCACTATTTTTCAAATGCACACGTACCTTGTAGTCTTACACATAAACAATACATTAAAGAAAAGCGTCAAACTTTGCCAAAATTACTAAAATTATGTACATATTTTTAATATTTCACACACATTGGTCTAATATTTCACTCCCCAGATCCTAACATGCACGTTTTTTGAAAACTTTCCAGAACCGCACGTTTTATTGTACAAGTAGTACTTACACATTAGAAAGTGTCAGAACTTACTGAATAGATCTCATATATTCCCTTGCGGCCCTCGTCACACTCCCGTCGCACCCAGTGTCTGTTTAGGTAGCTGCAGATGCCATTGAGTACCTTACTAGAGAACTGGTAATCCTCCCACTGCTTTGTGTAAAACCTGAGCACCTCTTCATCCATTAGATCAACACCATCCTATAAAATTTGATGGTAATAGTGACAGTAGCATAAAATCCATGATTATTGATACTAACACTCAATGTACCAGCCTTGTACATAAGTAAAAAAAAAACAGCCAGCCTCGATTTCAAACTTTTGATTTCTGATATATAACCTATAGTAAAATTTATAAAAATTAGTCAGATATGATTAAAATTAACCAGTTCCAGCCTGGAGAAGGTCATTGTTGAAATAATTTGTGCCAATCATCGTTGAAATCATATATTGTGAAACTTTCAACAACAGCACAAGCGCACAGACCAACAAAGTTTCTTCATGCTGCCCCACCTCCATCTTGCAAAGAAAGTATTTAAACGAAATTTTGACCACTAGATTTAGTGAGAAGCTATAAATTAATATTTATTTACGTTTCTATATCCATATAATGGCTCTCTCTCTCTCACACCCCAATTCCCCATGTACAAATGTTTTGCAGGATTACACGATAACATTATTGATAACATCAAGAGCTAATAATACCTAGAGTGTACAACGGAAAAACGGGAAAATAGTGCTATTTCACGACAACATTATTCTACTTTGCCTGCGAGTCTAGAATAATTTTATGGTATTGCATTAAGCAGAATTCTTCTAAAACAAGACCAACTGCTTGTCAATACGATACACCTAGGCTGAGATATTGGCTCCTAAACCTCCCCTCCCACATGCCTCATGCCGCCTCGCATCCCGGTTAATCAGCCACCTCCACGCCCCAAAGCATTTTGGCTATCGGTTTCCGTCACCGCTTGGAGCGCTGATAATTGATGTCACATGCCCAAATTTGGTACTCTTACTACACCATATAGTAACTGAGCTGCGTTGTAGAGACTTAATTTAGAAAACATTGCCGGCTCCATCATGACGGGCATTAGCCGTGCTAGGAAAGATAATGGGAGGTAAGAGCATAAGCGATGCCCCCGAAAGTCACCGATGATAACCGAAATGCTGTTCATTCATAAAGTTATCGCGGA